AGAGAGAGAGAGAGAGAGATGTGGGCCCAAATTATTTATTTATTTTTTTCATTTAAACTAAATAGACAAAACATAAAAAAGTATATCAGAAGTGCATTATAGTCATTTCAATTTTACGAGGGACCAAATTTACGTACAAACATAGCCAAAAGGACCACGACCACGAATCCAAAAAAATCAGAGTTTGAACTAAAACCTCAAAAAAAATTGCATACCACATATATTTTTTGCAATTTTGTCTAATTTATGTATCAAAACACGATATCTACCCATATTTTAATTTAAAAAAAATAAAATAAAAGGAAATAAATCTCATACAAATTTACGAAATAGCCCTTTAGCTTCCTCCTACCAAGCATCTCCGGTCAACCTCTTCTTTCTCTTCGCATTTCTTTTACCGGCGACCACCACTTCACCACCTGCCATCTCCGATCGACACCCTTATCATCCCATTTTCATATTCTTTTTCTCAGTTCCAGAAACGGTCGGTAAGTATGAGTATCTCCGATGAGTGCAACATATTTTGATTTTGCTTTTCCCAAATATGCACCAACCCTAGGGGAACGGCTTCAACGAAAGGAGAATGGATTTGTGGGTTTTCTGGTTCGAGTTGTACGAAACAAAACCCCCGTTGGTGTATGTGTGTTTGTGGCCTTGTGGTTCTGAATAGCAGTGGTGGTGGTCGGCGGTAGAAAGAGTTGCAAATGGGAAAAGGAACGGAGTAGGAGATGGCTAAGGGCATTTTGGTAAATTAAATATGGGCTTTAATTGTTTTCTCTTTCTTTAATACGTAATGTGGGTCCCACCCGGTGGTGGTGGACAATACTCTCAAGTGTAAGCACACACATCAAGACGTAAAAACCTAAAGCTTAAATACCAGCATATGCTCTTGCAATGGAGTAGGCCGGCATTTCCGAACGGCCCTTTCGCTATTAAGATTTAGATAGAGAAAGAGGACGACTCACGCCTAAAAGCTTCATTCAGGTGATTATCTTTATCTTCTTCATTCATCTTTCCAATCGATACAGAGATTTGAAATACATTCGTTTATATGCGTCTGTATTTGTGAAAACTGAATCTGCATGCCATGATTTGTGACTGTATTTGTTGGATTAAGGCCTGAGTTTAGTCGAAAGGGGTTTCATATTTGACAGATCTAAAATTTCCGGTGCTTAAAACCTTCGAACATTGATTGATGTGGAATGTGGCTGAAAAGTGGATCTGAGAAATCATTTTTGTTGATTCTGTCCCTCCTTTCTGATGCAAGCGTTGGGGTTGCTGATTTAAGCAATATGAACAGGGAATGGAAACAATCTCATTCCGATTTTGTTAACTTTACTCTTTTTGTTTCGTTTTTTCTTGCTAAAAGTGTTTCTTCTTTATTGGAGCTGGATTTTTGTGAAATTTGATTCGTTCAGCAACCTACGATTTTCTATTTTGATAAAGTAATTGAAAACTGCCATGTTTACTTATCGCTCATTTTTGCTTTTAATTTTCCAATAACACGCTTCCTCGATTTCCTCTCCACCATTGCCAGATTTCTGATTTCATACTCTGGAGTTGTATAAAGATTTGTGATATTTTGTGGTTCATTAACAATGTTTCAGTTGAGATTTTTGATTTCTAGTTTATGATATTTTGGTAATTTGTTTTCTGTACTTCATGGTAATTTGACCAGATTAAGTATGAAAGGTTGCAAAAACAGCTTAAACATTTCACATCAAAACATAAGAAACGCAAACTTGATTTCTGATTTTTGATTCATGGTTTATGTTTGCTGTGGTTAGATATATTTGCTGTGATCTTTGACTTGTGATTTTTAATAATCAGTTTAGACTTCTGATTTTTTATTCTGGTTTCTTTATCATATTTTTTGTATTGTGAATTGGTATCAGATTTTTGAGTTCTGTTTTCTGAAAAGTTTGGATTATTGCTCTTATTTTAACAACTGAAAAAGAAAATCACTGGATTTATTTGAGAGAGTTAACAGATCTTCTCAACTTTGAAAGCTAAAGTCATAAATGTTTCCGGTTTCCCCATCTCCCCCATCTTCTTTAACCATTTGACATGTTTGGGCTAAAAAGAATAAAACTGTTAATACAGAGTGAAATTTTTTTTGCAATTTTCTAAATCATTAAAGGTTTGTTTTCCCTGTTAATTTCTAATATTTTTCCACAATATCTCTTCATTTTATTGTTCAATGTTCACCACATATTATTATATTTTAGATACACTCTTTACTTGAGAGACTTGGATACTATCGCCAAAATATGACAAATTTTTTTGTCTTTGTCTTTTTGTATTCAATAACATGCACTGTGTATCACATGGGCCTCACCAAACTTTTACAACTTACTGAACTGATTTTTGTTTATATTTTCCAACAGCAACTTATTATATATAATATGCTTTTCCCAACAACCCCCTTATTTATGTCACATCCCTACATCAAATCAGATCTAATTATGTGGTTGTCCTTTGAATTTCATAGTTCCCTCCTAGGTTTGGGCATGTACTTAACTTCATTTATGACTCAAAAGTTATTGAATTCAAGTTCACCTTCTCGTGTTTTTAAATCACATGACTCATGATTCCATCAACATTTTCAAGTTAATAGCAAACTGTGTTTGTTTTTTTCACAAATAGCTCTACTTTTTTCGATATTTACTATGTTGGTCAACTTATGGTTTAATAGTTTTATAAATTTGGTATACTTTGAATGTTATCAGTCAAAATTGGCATACCATGTGATGCATTCCATTTTGCATTATCAGTGTTTTTTTATTTCAAGAAAGCGTGTTTCTCCTTATGGAAAGTTTGGTATTAAATTATTGAGATATTTGATTTATGCTCAACTATCATGGACCCCACCCTACTTATATTATAAGCTAACTTCTGATATTTCAATCTTTTTTTTTTATGTATAGGTGATTGAACAATGGGTGCCGGAGGGCGAATGTCGAAAGTGTCAAATGACAAAAATACCCCCGAACGGGTCCCGTACCAAAAACCACCATTCACAGTCGGCGAACTCAAGAAAGCAATCCCGCCCCATTGTTTCAACCGATCCGTTATCCGTTCGTTCTCATACGTTGTCTACGACCTCACAATCGCGTCCATATTCTACTACCTCGCGTCAAATTACATCCCTACCCTTCCCCACCCTCTATCCTACGTGGCATGGCCCGTGTACTGGGCCCTACAAGGGTGTGTCCTAACCGGTGTCTGGGTCATCGCCCACGAATGCGGTCACCACGCGTTCAGTGACCACCAATGGCTCGACGACACTGTTGGGCTCATCCTCCACTCCGCCCTCCTTGTCCCGTACTTCTCATGGAAATACAGTCACCGCCGCCACCACTCCAACACCGGGTCAATCGAGCACGACGAAGTCTTCGTCCCGAAGCTAAAGTCAAACGTCCGGTCAACCGCGAAATACCTAAACAACCCTCTGGGCCGAATCCTAACCCTTTTGGTAACCCTAACCCTAGGTTGGCCCTTATACCTAATGTTCAACGTATCCGGTCGATACTACGACCGCTTCGCGTGCCATTTTGACCCGAACAGTCCGATTTACTCGAACCGCGAACGCGCGCAAATCTTCATATCTGACGCGGGAATTTTCGCGGTTCTTTATGGGCTTTTTCGTCTTTCGACAATGAAAGGGCTCGCGTGGGTCCTAGCCATGTACGGGGGTCCGTTGGTTGTGGTGAATGGGTTCCTTGTTTTGATCACGTTTTTGCAACACACGCACGCGTCGTTGCCCCACTATGACTCGACTGAATGGGATTGGTTGCGTGGGGCCCTTGCGACGGTTGATAGGGATTACGGGGTTTTGAACAAGGTGTTTCATAATATTACGGATACTCATGTGGCTCATCATTTGTTTTCTACTATGCCTCATTATCATGCGATGGAAGCGACTGAAGCGATTAAGCCGATTTTGGGGGATTATTATCAGTTTGATGGGACTTCGGTTTTTAAGGCCATGTATAGGGAGACCAAGGAGTGTATTTATGTTGATAAAGATGAGGAGGTGAAGGATGGGGTTTATTGGTATGGGAATAAGATCGAATGAATGAATTAGAGATATGGAATTGTAAGGAAAGAGTGGCGAAAGTTTATCTCTTTTTTCTAGTTGTGTTGTTTAGTGTTTGGTTTGGTTTTGATGTCCATTTGAAAATGGACGTGGTAATTGTAGTGAGAGTTGAATAATAAGTTATGTACTCGAACTTGATGTTTGTAACCACTCTGTTTTAGTTTTTTCGAATGGAGCTTTATCTAAGCATCAATTTGTCTCTAAAATTTTAAATAGTTTTAAGCAAACCTAAAAAGTCCAAATAAACGGTTGTTAACCTCTGATAGAACTAGTCAGAGGGGACATTAAGAAGTTGGAATCATGAACATTAAAGTAGTTTTTAGCATTCTAGCTAATAACTAGGTTAACAATAAGTTATTTTAATGGTATTAAAAAGCACTAAATTATAATAAATTCAAAATATAAACTCGTTTATTACGCCTTACATACAGCATAAATGATTCAGTTTTATTAAATAATCCCTTTATTATTTATTTGTTTTTCGGTTTTTCCTAATGTAATTGATTTTTCATTATTGCAACAGTGAAACACGGGTATAGAATAATGAAAGTTGTTTGTGGTCCATGTGGACCATGTGAGTGGTTTGTATTTTATAAAGTAATAAAAGTTGAAGGTGACCCTTTTTGGGAAGATCGTGGATCATGGCTTGCCAATCTTTGATTGAGCGTAAGGCCACCTTTAAATTAATACCAAAAAGCACCACAAAATATTAAATTTAAACGTCAATTTTTTAGAGTAAGTTTTGTATTTGGTCCCTGTTTTGTATTTAAAATAAGTTTGGTCCAATTTTTAAAATGTATTTTTATTGTGAATTTAGTATCTGGAACAATGTAATATGAGTTTTATATGGGACCAAACTTGCAATTGTGAGTAAAGCATATAGACATAATACACAACAACATATGAACTTAATGATAACTTCTATAAAAATTTCAAGAATTCGACAAAAACATGTGATTTAAAGTAAAATACTAGGACTAAATTTATAATTTACTCATTTTTATTCCAACCACGCAAAAAGGATGTTAAATAACATATTAGTAAACTTACTAAAATAAAAGTGATGTTTTAAATGTTATATTTAATATTAGATTTGTTTTAAAGCTTTTGATGAGATTTTTATTATGATACATTTGGTTTAATTTGATTTATAACATTTATGCGGAATATTTAATATTTAATAATTTTACATAATACCGAGTTTGGTGTTTGATGCAAAGTAAACAGCGTAAACATTCATCGACACCAAAAAAGTTGTGTTGGGCCACCTGATTTTGGGGGTTATTATCATTTATCAGTTTAATGTGATGTCGATTTTAAAGCGATGTGGTCTAAAGAAATAAAGAGTGTATTTATGTTGATAAAGATGTGGAAACTTTTTTGTAGCAGGAATTATCATCTTAAAGTTGAAATATGTGATATTCGAATTTAGTTAAACAAATTTTGTAGTCAAATTGTGTTTCTAGCTTTTTAGCTTTTAAATTGACCTATATCTAGCATCAATTATCTCTCTCTTTTTATTATATCAAATAAAAAAAATATTCTTATAATTTAAATTATATTTGACAAACTAATTAAAAAGAGTTAGATTTTAGATGAAAAGGATAAAATAATATATCTTTTAAAATCCAACCTGAAAAACAAAATGACATATATTAGAAATGAGTCTATAAACTGTATATTTGGAAAACTTGTGGTAAAAATCACATTGATTTATATCTCAAATATTTAAAAGAAAACTAGTTCATAAATTACTTTAGTATGTAGTTTCACCAAAATATAAAATAAGTTTAGAAAATAAATTAGTTTATATACGCCAAACACAAAAAAATACCTATGTCAAATTATTAAGATAGTAAATGGCATGTGTTTGGTTTATCATTTTGCAATTCAGACGGACGTAGACAGAAGTTGTTTGTTAGTTTTATTGCGACTATATGGGATTTCTATGGTTCATAAGAGTGATTTTTAATTATGATTTGGACTTGTGATAAATACAAAAGGTAATGAATGGTTGAAGGTGACATATATTGAGCAAATTAATGTAATGACAAGTTGAGTTTTGAAGAAACAATTAAATCATAAACAATAGTTGTTAATAAATATTGCTTTTTGCAAACAGTTTTATGCATTGTTTTAAAAAACTGATTTGAACTGGCCGGTCGAACCGGTTGGACTGGGAACCGGAGAAGTGAGCGGTTCAGTTAGTACCGATTTTATGTCTATTTTTAAATCGGAATGAACCGGCCGGTTTTTACAAAAACCCGGTTGAACCGGTTAAATAAACCGGTTGAACGAATTAAATTAAATAAAAAAACATGGAAATAGTCAAATAGATCATTTTGCATAACAAACTTTGTCCTTTTTTCACATCTATTTAGATTTCTTTGAATAAAAACACATGGTTAATGTTAGAGGTTTTTAAATGCGTTTGCATTCAGCTAAAACTATATTTTGTTTCTCTCTGT